TATTGAGCCGACCTGTGACAGTTTCATTGTCACACGTCGGCTCGAACTATGAGGTTGAGTGAAAATCACTCACCTCATAGTTCTCCTTTTTAAGGGTGGATTTATAAACAATTCACACAGACATTCACCCTACAGGTAAATATCACATTATGGCCACTAGATGGAGCTGAGGAGCACAAGAAATGGGTATTATATCCTACAATCCTCAGCTCCATCTAGTGGCTGCATCTAGTGGCTGCATTACCTGAAATTACATGTGACCTAATAACAACCTATGCTCATAACATTAATTTGTCTCCCCCATTCACACAGAATGAATGTATAAGTGATTTCACAGGGCACATGACTCTGTAAATGTGTTTATAAACTTTTGAAAACTTTTATAAAACCCTTAGTGTGCCTCAATTTACAGAACAATCTCCCGCTAGTACAGTGTTATAAATTATTCACATTCCTGAGCCAGCAGAATTGTATTTCCACTCTGCCTCACTGATTCCTTGTTTTCTTTTCACTTGTCAGTGAAGAGTTCTGCTCATTGTTAGTTTGTACATTCCGAAAATATCATGCGCCTATACCATGAATTAGTGAATTGACTTTATATAACTTTTGCATTCGGCAAGAGTTATTTATAGAACAAATATTGTGCTTAAGTCAAAATTTAACACAAACTTCATTTTTTATAAATTAACTGGTTGTTCTTTTATCACATGCTTTATTCTCTGAAAAAGGGTCACGTGACCCTGTTGGTGCATGCGATACATGTTGGTGAGTTGACCCAAGAGTCTAAATGGAGTTTGTGTGGGGTTTTCTCCAGATTTCCCTGCACAACCCAAAAATAAATTGATGGTTTACCTAAAATAGCCCTGGCAGGGGCGTCCCACGGCCGTGTGTCAGCTGCAGCGGTTACCGGGTGACACCCCACCGTGACGTCACCACGCATGCGCAGCGATCTTATTGATACCTGCCGGCGGCCATCTTTGTGATAGATGTCGGCAGAGAGAGGAGGGAACAGTCACCCGGCGGGATAAGGTATGGTGCCGGGTCCCCTCCTCTCTCCCGAAACTGTTGGGCGCTCGGCCCATGACCGAGTGCCAAACTTTTCAGAGGGGGGGTGACACCAACATGACTTCAGTCACGTTGGTGTCACCCCTCCAATGGTGTCACCCGGGTGCAAGCCGCACCCCCCTTGTGACGCCACTGAGCCCAGGTGTTGTGTGCGTGTCCCAGTCTGTAGTAGAGTAATTAGGCTGAGATCTAAGAATCAGCTCATGAGATGTGACTTTGGTTACGCAGTGCGGTGCACTTTTTGGACCATGTACAGTATAACAAATATGAACATGCAGAAATAGTGTGTTAGTAAAATTACTGGTAGATCCACTTTAAAGTCAAGAATTAGAAAAAAAATAACTGTTGCAGTGGCGCTATCCCTGCACTGCAAGGGTTTAAGCGGACCTTTCCCCATATCTTTAACCACTTCAAGACCAGGTGTTTAGACCCCCTTCCTGGCTACGGGCATCGCTGCCCGTTTTTAAATTGCGGCCATTTCCCGGTGGCGCGCGCAAGGGGGTGTGTCTGAGCGGACGTATAGAGACGCCCGCTCAGATCGAGAGAGCTCCTGGCCGGCCGTTTTTTTACTACGGCCGGCCCGGAGGTAGTTAAAATGACAACAAAGTCACCTTTAGAAATGTTTAGTAATGACAATCTACAAACACATACTTCTAGATAATTGTCGGCTTTTTATTCTTTACATATCTTATTTCTCTTTTCTTCCCCAGTCTTCTCACAGTGGTCATGTTTACTAAGGGCAGATTACTAGCTCTCCTTTTACTTCCTGGATCTCTGGCACATGTGACTAGGACATGTGACCATGCACATCATCTCAAGGGAGGGAAATGCCTTTCCCTGAGATGTCATGAGATTACAGATGAGATTTCCCAGCTATGCTCTGCGGATGTAACCTTTCCTAGGATGCAGTGCTTGGGAACATTACATCACTAATGCCCAAGAGGTCCAGGAAGTGGCAAAACAGTAATTGAGAGTAAAAGAAAACTATGTTTGCTTGACTAATGAATGTAAGATGATTTCATATCAGCATGCAGAGCTAATGTGATTTTTAGTGAAAGGGGTTAAAGGTCCACTTTAAGTGCTTGTTTTGTCTAGGGAGCTCAAATAAAGTAGATATACTCATCTGATCCTCAGTCCCGCCGGGCTGCTAGACCAGTCCCTGCAGCATCTTCTCCCCCACTGATGTCATCACGTCTAATGCAGGTCTATTGAGGATGCTGGGGGATATTCCACAGTGGAGGGGGAGAGAGGTGAGTGCCAACCATCGCAGGACCGTGGATCAGGTGAGTAATACAGCTTTATTTGAGCCTCCTAGACAAAACGGGCGGGTGGGCGAGCCCCAATGGAAGGGCAAATTTTTTTTAAATCCTGTAGTTCTTCTTTTAAGGCTAAGTTTACTTTTCTGGTCCATGCTGCATGTTACACACATACAATATTCAGGATGTAACATCCTCAGATCTCAAACCCCATCTCCCTCAGTTTGGACATGGACGGGAGGAAGAGTCTGCAGGAAATAGGACATTGCACACTTGATCTACTGATCATGGTTGCAATGGTTTCCTTTCAAAATAATAAATGCACATTTTTTTCTTTTATAAAGAAGTGTGAATTTTTTTAAATGTGAATGGTTTTTATTTTGTCTCTGTGGTGGAATCCGTCTGCTATATATGCATGAAGAAAATAAATATAACGATAACGACGACTAGAAACTTGTGGATACGTCTGCTTTGCTGATGGCGGACAATCTACTGTGTTTTTTTAATCTCTTTTAATTGTGATTATTCCCCACACAGGAAACCTGCCCCCTGAATGTATAATTATAAATGCTTAGCATAGTTACATGAAAGTTTAATGATCTAAAACATAATTGGTCTTTTCATTGTACATATCTCCTGATGATTGAGTTATGTTTCTGCAGAGATTTGGTAGAAGCCTTGCTTGCTTATAACTAAGAATTGACATCATGCTGAGTGTGATTGATTGATGATCAGATGAGCAGATCTATCTCCGATGACCCATTGCTAATACAGTATTAGTAAAAATGTATAGTCGCTGACACCGAACGGTGTTCCATCAGTGAATGAACCTGACAGCTTTGTCTGTGTCAGTATTTGGAGAAAAAGCTAGAATGCTATAAACTGCACAGATTTTGCAAACAGTAGTGAAGCCGTCTTTTTTTTATTTTTAAACTTTGGATTTTTATTTGGTTTATATGCATATAAGACAATGCTTTGCACATTCATAATGAACAAGCAGATACATTGACACAACACATCTATCAGACATCAAATTAGTCATATCGCCTGAAATCTTCTTTACATTCCATCTAGTAGTAGATGTACGCTTGTACCTCAAGATCAATGGTAATATATGCATAATAAAACTATATTGTATAGTTGCTAGGCATAGAGAACCATACAATTATAGGAGTAAAATAAAGCAAAATAAAATAAAACAATATTGCAGCCGTCTTTTATGTACAGCTGGGCATACACAGAATTTTGCACGAAAAATCTGTTCAGAACATTCGATAATACCATCAGAGACTTGACAGATGTTGAACTAAATGTTTTTTTATTTTAACATTTGGTTTTGGAATGAATTAAGTTTCCCGAACAAAAAACACATTCGCTGTTAGAAGTTCGCTCCTTTAAGAAATAATTTCCATCATGCGCCTTCCATTTTTCTAGTCACTATGGTCCAAATCGATTGTCGAATAAGGAAAATCGAACGAATCTTCCGAAAAACAACCATTTTCTAACAAAATTCTAACTGTGTACTCAGCTTTACTTTAGAATCTGAATTAATTAGGAAAAAGTATTTGAGATAACAAATCCCGGGACATTATTAGCACATAGACATAGACGACAAGTAGGGATGCACTGATGTTGGTTTCTCGTTATTGAGTACATAGTTACATAGTATTTGAGGTTGAATAAAGACAATAGTCCATCAAGTCCAACCTATTAGGATCTCATTCTAGGAGTACCCGTACCCCTGTATATTACGGTCCCTTAAGAAATCGTCCAAAAGTTTCTTGAACAATTACGAGTACCGATATTTTGCTTTTGGTACTCGCCGATGCCGAGTACCGATACCGGTGCTTCTGCTGGCATGGAGCTGGCTTCCGGGGCAATTAGGAAGCTGGGCGGGAAGTAATGACATCTCGCCTGGCTTCCTGATTGGCTGGGAAGCAGGCTTCCCAGCCAATCAGGAAGCAGGCTTCCCAGCCAATCAGGAAGCCGGGCGGCGAGTAATGACCCGCCTCCCAGCTTCCTGATTGAATGGGAAGTCGGCTGTAAGCTGACTGACTGGAAAGCCGGCTTCCCAGCCAATCAGCAAGGAGCCGGCTGTTTGGCCAGCTAGATGCTGATTGGACTGGAAGCTGAGTTCCCAGCCAATCAGGAAAGAACCAGCAGGTCGGCCTGCTCCATGCTGATTGGCTGGGAAGCCGGGGGGTGGTTCATTACTCGCTGCCCGGCTTCCTGATTGCATGGGAAGTTGGCTCCATGTTCCCCTCTGACCGGAAGTCCGGTATCCGGGAAGGTATCGATATTGGTGCAGCCGTAAGGACAGGTGTGTACTTTATTACTTGGAATTGATGGGTGGCAGCAGGGCCGTTTCGAGGCTGCACCCTAAGCAGCAGTGCACCCTAGGCGGCTGCCTAGTGGCAGCACCGGCCCTGGGTGGCAGTCATGTGCTGTTTCAGAAAAATCCGGTAAAAAGCTTTATTTGCCTTTTTTCCGAAATACAGAATAAGATCTGAAAGAACAATCAGACTAGACAGGAACCCGCAGAAAGGAAAAGTATATTGATCTGAATTTTATACTTTAAGAGAAAAATAAAATGAAAATAGCTCTTAATGACTCTTCAGTGATAATAAGCTGTAATGTATTTTGCAGAATTTAATATTTTCAATGCTGATTTGTTAACAGGAAGTGGAACTTTCATTCTTTTGTCACATCTCAGCCTGAGATGGTCAGGAACAAGCTATTTGCGCCAGAAGATTCAGACTGGGTTAATCACAGTATGGGGAATCCGGTAAGCATTTATTTTCCAGACCGACGTTCTTGTGCCGGAAATAATTGTATTTTTATTAACTGTAAAAGAACATTTCTTTCAGCCTCGGAACATTTTTGTTTCTAAGAATTCTCCGAGATGGCCATGATAGAAGATTTAATAAAGTACGAGATAATCCAGGGACATTTCTGGTTTATTGGACAGTTCAAGGTGAGTGATAAAAGTCAATGGCTTCTCTTTGAGTCCTATATCCCATGACAAGGGGCTCTTAGCTGCAGCCAAGCATTTTAACCAATATTCACAAAGGACTAACACCGCTTAGGCCTCATTCACACAGCTTAGAGCCATTCCGTACAGATCCGTGCAGCATGCACGGCCATATCAGGCCGCTCCCAGGAAAGACAGGTGCTGCGTGTGATTGTACTCAGCAGCCTGTTCCTCCCCAACGGGAGGACGCGGCCGTACGCTCACCCGTGCTGCACATCCATGCAGGTGTCCGAACTCGTACGCAGACAGGATGAATCCTTTCTGCGTCCGAGCACAGACACCCACATGGATGTGCAGCTCAGGTGAGGGTACGGCGGCGTGTGGCTGTGTCCTCCGATGAGAACAGAACAGGCTGGTGCATATAATCAAACGCAGCACCTGTCCTTCCCGGCCATGCACGCCACGTGGATCTGTACGGGCCATCTGTTATCAGTGTGAATGAGGCCTTATACACAGACCGGTCCTATCTTTGTTCTCTCACTCGTGGTTGTATATTGTTACTGGTCTGTCTGTCAGAAGGCAGCTTGAGCTTTTTGGAGGATCTCTTAATCCTTACAAATGACGGGGGGGGGCTTTGGAGAAAGAATACAGGAACTGACTTATGGAATCTGGAGATAAAACTGAGCACAGAGCAGCCAATCATCTTGCATTGAAGAAATTAAGGCAATCTGATTGGTTGCTTTGGAGAACTGCTCTTCTGTGCTCCAGTTTTTTTTTTTTTTTTTTAAGAAGTTGCAATAAAATAGCATAGTAAAGACATTAAAGAGTAATTCCACTTTGGTTGAGAAAAAAAATAATCCTCTCTGGGTGATCTGTGTACATTGCAAGGATTGTAACAAACTTTGTTACAGATTCCTACATGTTTCGGTTGTAAAGAAAAAGCTGTTTGTTGCAGCATGTCCTTTCCAAACTGATCCCTGAATGGGAGGATCTGGGTTCATTAGAATCCACTGGTGGGCTTCCTGTGTTATAATGAGGAAAGGTGCAGTGTCGGCATCCCTTTAGTAGTGATTAACCCTCAGGGAATATCTGACCAAACATGAAATTCCTATTGTAAGGGATGCCAAAAATTATACTTATATCTATATGCAGACTTTTGGGAAAATCAGCCAGCCAATCACAGAAGCAGGAACTGACATTTCTGGGGGGGGTACAGTTCACCAACTGTACACAGAACTCCTCCAGGTAGCCATATTGCATTGGATTTCTTTGACAGATTTAGAACATTACAACAGCTACAGCTTTAAATGGAAAGGTGATTTTTATTGACATTAAGTGGAGTTACCCTTTAATTTCGGTAACCATGCTTCTCCAGGTACTTTTACTGACAAGCTCTGTACTTCTTAGTACATGGACATCATTTCAGGGGTGTGGAATTCGTATCGCCCGACGCCCGGGACACGTAGTTCCGGGCGCTGGGCAAGTAGTTTTTTCACTGTTTCAGCTCTGCTACGGACAAGTAGCAGGGCTTATTTGACTTTTTTAAACAAGTGGCGCTGCGAGCGGGGGGCATGGACCGGTGAGAGCGGGGAGCGTGGCCCGAAGTGTGCAGAGCGCGGGCGGGGCCGGAGCGAGGGGGTGTGGAGCAGTGACAGGCTCTGTCACCTCCCTCTGTCTCTGGCGGCCGCTGCTCGTTTCTGTCACAGGAGTTCTAGCACAGAGCTGTGCTAGAACTCCTGTGTTGGAGGTGACAGGGTCAATAAAGAGAACCTGTCACCTCCAAAAGCTATCACTGTGTGATAGCACTACAGTTAAGTTTAAAAAAAAATAGTTTTAAAAATAAATAGTTTTAAAAAAAAAGTAATAAATAATAGTTAAAAATGTAACTAAATAAAAATGTAAAAATAATAAAACAAATGAGAAAATTTTACAAAGTAAATAAAAAAAGAAAACCAGTCCCGCTGCCCCATCTGCATGTGAATAAACTGCGATTGTGTGCTACCGCAAATTTGCAATAGCCAATAGTAAACTATCATTGTACCTGGGTACAATGCTAGTTTACTATTGGCTATTGCTAATTGAAATAGCCAATAGTAATGTAGCAATGTATTTCAATGGAATAGTGAATAGCCCGTACAGCACCCCTTCGGTTCTACAGAACCGAAGGGGTCCTGGGGCCGAAGGATCGGCCGAAGCTACGGCTAGATCCTTCGGCAGCTTCGTGAATAGACCCCTGTGTTTCATATCAATAAAATTAGACAGATGTTATGGCTCATAGAGGGGTCATCTCCTGGCTGGGAGACGGAGATAGACAAGCCCAATAGAAGTCAATGGGGATGTACTGCCCAGGCACGACCAGGAGAGGGAGACTTTTGCCGCAGGATGTCAACAATGGAGGCCGAGCCTGTAAAGGGTCGGTAAGTATGCATCTGTGCAGCCGGAGGTGGGATTGCCCAGGTCAGCTTAAAAGGGGACAAAAGGATAAATGCACTTGTCTTTAAAAAAACATTGTGATGCTAAGGTGGTGCTAAATGCAATCTTTCCCTAATATTATTTCTGATATCATGTCTTATTTGTTCAGGTGTCTGGATATTTGTTACATTGTTGCCATCGTTAATGGTAAACCTTGAGAAAAGAAACAAGCCCCTGGGAATAGTTGACTATTGCGGTTGGAGCTTGTGGGCAGTTGGATTTCTTGTGCAGGCCATTGCTGACCAGCAGAAATTGAATTTTAAGAGTGACCCCGACAATGCTGTGAGTATCTCAATACTATTATTTTATGGGTTCCAGTTTAGGGAAATAAAACATGCAATGAGCGTGTCTTAAAGCAGAACTCTGGGCAGAATTTGTCTTTACCCTTGCAGTGAGGCTACCCCCGCAGTGCAAGGGTTTGGTGCTCGTTATTGTCTAGGTGCTAAAAAAAAAGTTATACTCACTGGATCCTCCAAGCCAGTTTACTCTTAGGGTCCCCACACACCTTACCATAATCGCGGCAAATCCCGCGATCGTACGATTATCGTAAGGTGTGTGGGAGCCGTGCGACCTCTACTACTGTAAGGTCGCATTACTTTTATCTTAGGAACATGTTCAAAAACCCGCCGAGAATCGTACGATGTTCGGCGGGTGTGTAGCATGTTCGTAAGATAAAAACCGGACGGGCCGGTGCGCGCAAGTGCAAACTGCCCGTTCGGCACTGCGGTCATCGGAAGCCCACCCCTCATCGGGGTGGGCATGCGATCATCGCAAGTACGATCTGCCTGTCCAAGATAGGCAGATCGTACGTTTTTTTAATTACCTTACAACCATCGCAAGACAAAAGTCTTGCGATGGTTGTAAGGTGTGTGGCCAGCTTTAGAGGGGGCCCTGGAGCCTCTCTCCCCCTCAGCTGCAGTGCTTAAAGCTCCTGTAATTCATCACCTTCTACACACAGGGGGGGATTTATCAATACTGGAGCAGACAAAATCTGGAGCAGATTTGCACTGCAGCCAATCAGCTTCTCTGTTTCATTTTCTAATCTTACCTGAGCAAACTGAAGAGAGATGCTGATTGGTTGCCATGGGCAAGTGTTCCAGATTCTGTTTGCTCCAGTTTTGATAAATAAAGTGTATAGAATTGAGGACGCTGAGGAACATTTCAACGCTGCAGATTTTTAGGAGAGAGGCTTCATTGACCAGATAAGCAGGCAGCCAGCTTGAAGGATCGGGAGAGTATAACTTTTTTTTTATGACCTAGACAAACATAAGCACTTAACCCTTGCAGTGCATGGGGTAGCTCCACTACAAGGGTTAAAAACACTTTTGCCCAACGTTTTCCTTTAAATTTAAACTCCAGACAAACCTGAAGTGGGGAGTAGATGCATCCTCAGTCAGTGTTTATCATAATTTTACTCCATTGGGAAAATGTACCTTTTTTTTTCCTGCTCTCATTTTTTTACTCAGAACTCCCACCAAGGCAGGGAGTGGGAGCCATCAACCCAATGGAAACACTGCGATAAATATCTAAAGGGGTTTCAACCATTACCCAGTCTGAAGCTCAAAAAAAATGATGTCATATTTCTATAGAACTATGATGTATTTATCTACCTGAATATCTGTTCTTCTAAAAAAGGATGTTTTGACTTATGATAGGCGAGATAGCGACCTATAGCTTGTCATGAAAATTAACAATCCAAGATCTGGATTTCAGAATATATTTCTTGTTCTCTAATACATAAATAATGAATGCAGTTCTGCTTTAAAAGGGATACTAAACTCAGGAGTTAAATCATAAAAATACATGCAAGTGCCCTAACTATTAACAATAATGTATCTTATTTGTGTATCACTCGGCTGTAGATCCTCAAATCATCTCTGAATTGGTGCTGACACTGTCCTTCCTTCTATGTGTGTTGTAAAGTAGCCACCACTCCACTGGACTACAATCTCATGTTTGGTTTACTAATTTGTATTGAGATTGTAGTCCATCACAGGAGCGAGCTTGGAGCGGTGGCAACACAAAGCTGGAACAAAAGTAGCCATCCTCCAGAAGGAAGGACAGTGTCAGCCCAAATTCAGAAATGGGGATTTACAGCCGAGTGATACACAAATAAGCAACATTTTTGTTAAAGGAGAACTATGAGGTGAGTGCTTTTCACTCATCCTCATAGTTCTAGCCGACCTGTGACAATGAGACTGTCACAGGTCGGCTCAGTAGATCGGGAAGTGAGCGAACACATTTGTTCACTTTTCGATCCTGTCACGGCTCTCTGCCGAGACAGGGGAGGGGCTGGATTCCGCCCTTCCCGCTCCAATCCTCCAGCGCTGACTGGCGGAACGGACGGGGGAGGGGCGGGTACAGCTGGCTCTGCCTCTAGATAGGCAGTGCCAGCTGTCACTCACGCAGCTGGGCGGATCCAGATAGAATTGTCGGGATCCGCTTTAGCTGCGGCGTCTCAGTATACCGCGAGCTGTAGCTCGTGGTATACTGAGCTTAGGGTGACAGGAGGATGCTAGTTTGTGTACTCCCGTTACCCTAAGGAGAACTATGGGGAAAAGCCCTGACCCCATAGTTCTCCTTTAATAGTTGAGGTACTTGAATCCATTTTTAAGATGTAACTCCTGAGTTAAGTGTCCCTTTAAGTTTTCTTTCTGGAAAATTAGTGAAGAGGGCACGAAGATTCCCAAGAAGGGAAAACTGGGCTTAGACCTATAGAATTTTTTGTCCAGTCACAGATCATATATATATATATGTGTTTATTGCACAATTATTACTCATAGATAAATAATCTGCACTTTGGAAAACATTTGTAAAGTGCAAAAATTGTCTCCTTCTGCATGTAGTTCTAGTTTATTATATTTTGTATTATTTTCCTGGAGGTTGAAATGTCATATTTGTATATTTGTATGACATCATTTTTTTTTAAATATCATTTGTATAGTTCACTGGGGTGACGGTTTTTCAGCATTGTGCATAGTCTCCTAGCTCCTCATTTGTTGACCATATGTGTAGCTCAGGGGTGGACAACCTCAGTACTACAGCTGTGGTAAAACTACAAATACCGTCATACCTCTGCCATTTGTTACTGCTTCTTCTCTAATAATCTGCTGCTGTGTCTTTAATCTTCTGTAGGGAAAATTTATTCAGAGTGGTCTCTGGGCATACAGCCGTCATCCAAACTACCTGGGAGAGATCTTACAGTGGAGCGGCCTCTTCCTCTCTTCATGTTCAGTGCTGAGGGGTTACCAGTACATGAGTGTCATATCCCCAATATTTGTGTGGTTCCTGCTCAGTTATGTCAGTGGTATTCCCATTCTAGAAAAACAAGGCCTGAAAAGATGGGGAGAAGACCCAGCATATAAGAGTTACATCCAGCAAACACCAGTGCTCTGGCCATTTAAGCTCTGAGATCCAACAATATATAATGTTCATATATAGACACCTCTATATGTCTGTCTTATGCTATGGAAACGTACACGTACTTCTTCTTATATGATCTCTGACATTTACAGATACCTCAGAGGGAATTTGGTTTACATAAACAGAATATAAGGAATTTACTGTATTGATTCTTTTTTTCCTGAAAAAAAATTAATGCTAATAAAGTCTTCGAAAAAACCAACAGGACTTAAGATTCAATGTCTTTGTTGAGTTCACTTAATGTATGCAATGGAGGCGTTATGGGCTAAAAGGTGTTGCCTCCAAGGATGGATGGATGGATGGATGGGCCTAAGTACACCTTTTTTTCAAATCCCAAAAACATCATTATAAGTTAGTTGGCATTTCATTAAACTGCACACATGTGTTTGTATGAGGTAGGGACCCTACAATGTTGCTTTAAGTACACCCATTATGAAAAAATACATCTGCTATTGCTGGTCTCCTTCTGGAAATGCTAATTGCCCGACAATGCCTGGCTCCTGTATTTCCTCAAAGTCAAAATTAATTAGATCTATATGGTTGTCAGATGAGTGACTCAAAGTATTGAGGAAATTGGATCAGCATAGCACCCAGGCAACTAGCATCCTCAGAAGGAGGGGTGAGCGATAGAAGCCTACATATGTCCTTTAATGCTTCAGTGACATTGACAGCTTGTGTAGGATGGCAGTGTGATGTCTCGCATCATACAATAGATTTCTTATGGGATGGAAGTAGAACAATCACCCCATGGAACCCTTCATCCACAGATTGTATAGAGCAGAGGTAAGCAAACTCCAGCCCTCCAGCTATGGTGCAACTACAAGTCCCATGAGACACTGCAAGAACTCTGACAGCCACAGGGGCTCCTGTGGCAGATTGGGGCTCCAATAGGCAGATTGTAATTTCACCACAGCTGGAGGACTGAAGTTTGCCTACCTCTGGTATGGATGACACATGGAAGGCAATGGTGATAATTCTACAACAGGGAAGTACCCTTATGGTCCTTTCTGGTCTCAAAAATGAAGGACATTCATAGGTGCAGGATGAATGATAAATGCTGCCTTCATGGTGGACTGGCTAAGATGTAGAGTAAGCTGTCCCAGCAGTGTCCTTTTGACCCCAGACACGATGACAGTACAAAGTGCAAAGTGGTGGGATTATTGTGCAGTGGACCCTGGGCTGTTTTCAATTCATGGGTTCCCACCAGTGTACTTGGATCACCCATAAGGGTCAGTGTACAACAAACATTTGTGTTTTGTTAAACATTTGTGCACCTTTTTGGAAGACGGTTTTTTAAATTAAATTCAAGTTGGATCTTTTGCAACAATATAGACTTTACAAATTACTCACATGATGGTTGCAGAGTGTAAGGACATAATGCTTCCGGATACAAGGAGTGTACATACGTCATGTGTATAAACATTTGAAAATGTGAAATAACATCTTTATTGAGAGAAATACAAAGTATGCCATGGCTGCTCACATTCTGAAAAAAGTCTCAACAATTCTAAAGCTGAAATTGACTTATGTTGAAGAGCATTATTCTTCAGAACTTTGTTTAGCATCACCATGGGTGCCCCTGGAGTCTGGGGCTGCATTCTGACCTTATTCTGCCAGTGAAAATGCATTTTTTCAAAATTGATCTAACCCCATCAGTGCAACATCAGCACCATGTAAGTACCTTGGCAAGCTTGCTACCCAATCTAGAATTTCTTGAGGCTTTGTTGATCTGTTTTGGTACCCTCTCTGTCTTAAATGCTGGTCAGCATCATATTAAGATTGCAGCCAAGCTTGAATTCGTTGCAGAGCCCTAATTAGCTTTTCAATTCAGTTTACAGATCACTGCCGGGTGTAATCTAAACTGTATTCATTCTACTCAGTGGTGGAGGAAGCAGTAAAGGGTGAGGATGGGTCAATAAAGCCACCCATTAAATAATGAAGGACATACAAATGCTCCACATTGCTAGTCAAAAACTAGAAAATACAATGAGGATTTTTGTTGTGAATAAACCCTTAGACTGTAATAATAATCCTTTCTTTTAAAACTGAATTTCTGGTACAAAGCGTATTCATGTATATGTTAAAGAAACTATTTAGGGAGCATCAGAAGATACTTTTGCAGCTGTTTTGTCAGCATTTTGGCAGAAATGTGCTTCCAGTGCTGCTGAGTGATGAGTCTTGGCTTCTATCCCCACAACGCAGGCCATAGGTTAGACTTCAGTCTGTGATTATCAGCACAAAAAAATACCATGCCATTCAACAAACCATTTGATATCAGTTCCACAAGGTTTTTAATTTGTAGACACTGAAGCAGCATATTTACTCCAATTTAACCAAATACAAAATGTGCACTCTAAAACAAGTGCTGGTCGTCCTTGTGTAATCCATATTTGTAGCCCTATCACATAGATAAGTCATGTTTGGATTCTTGTTAGGTGTATTAGCTCTACCAGGCTGAACATTCAAGGAAACCTATTGTCTTTTAGAAAGTACTTTTCCTGGAGCATTTTAAAGCACAAATGTGAGACATTGCAAAACAGATGTACACTTTTCCCTCCAACACATGCACAACAAGCAAAGAACTGGTTTACACAAGAGCGTTGTACTAAAGGCACTTAAACCAGTTTAGCGCACACTATCATACATGCAAATGCACTGCATGCTTCTGAATGGTATCCCCAGTGTGTGTGTTGCAACGCATGCAACATTCAATAAAAAAATAAATGTTGCATGCATTATTTTTTTTCATTGAAGGACACAGCTGGATCCTTATGATCTTCACCATATGGGTTTTATATCGCCACCCGCAGGAGTAGAACACTAGGCAAAGAAGCAGCCCAGGAGCGGTCCCCACTGATGCTGTGACATCATCACTCCTCCAATTACAGAATCTCTTGTATTCTTTCAAAAAATACAAGACATTTTGTGAATGGTCAAGTTGTGAGGAGGGGGTGATGGGACTGGAGCTCTGTGCTGGTTTAGTCGCACCTCTCCCTCCCCTCAGTGCCCTTTTGTGTGGGAGCCAGCATGCTGCAAAGTACGATTTTTTTTTTACTTGCTGCCTTCCTCCGGACAAAACGCACAGCTTTTTAATGGTAATTTAAACACCCAGTGTGGTGTGTAAATTATCATTTGGCCAGGAGTGTGGCTTTAAGTTACAAATGTTCAATAAATATGATTAAATCCTGGCCAGGAAGGGGGTCTAAACACCTGGTCTTGAAGTGGTTAAACATACAAATGTTGTTTTCTGCAGTGTTTTCATTTACATTCTGCCTACTTGCACATGCACAGCATATGCTACATCATGCTTCTGGTGATAACGTGCATTCTTTCCAACCCTCAAATAGCTGAAATCATGCTGTGCAGTGTCCATACATACGGTACATATACTGAGAATTATAACCAGTATAAATAACAAAAGAAGTTCTACCATGCAATGTCTATAAAAACAGGACAGAAGCAGATACTGGGAACTACACAAACCATACCAGACAAGAGAAGTGCTACCATGCAGTGTCCATAAATACAAAAGAAGCTCAATTCACAAAACAAACACACCAGGATAAGGGGCCCATCTGCATGTGTGCAATGTTTTAACCATATCCAGCGGGTTCATGTAAATTTATGTCATCCGCTAGAAGTGATTATACCAAGAACACGGCTGCTGCTGCAGCCGTGTTCTTGGTACCGTTTTAAACAGCAGACGATTGCTGTTTAAATACAAGTGATCCGGTGTCTGTACAGGTGCCAGATCGCTTGTACGGTGCGGTGCCGTGCCCCCCCCCCCTCCCCCCTTTTTTGTATCTATTTACCCGGCGTGACCCCGTCTTTTATATTTTACCAAACAATTGGGTATTATATTTTGTTTCTGTGCACTAAATTTTATTTTAGTGTATGTTATCATAAAAATACTTGTTTGATAAACATTTGTGCAAATACCGTGCGACATAAAAAATTGCAACTAGGGGAGGGTGCATGCGCGTGGCTGACCAAGATGGCCGCAGTTTGATCAGCTCCGCACCGGACCAGGTGCCTTACGGATCATACGGTTTGATTTCGCTGCCATAAACCGAACATCTTCATTGGGAAATTATCTGGGAACACCTGAGGCGTCGATTGATATTGAAAGGGGTCGAAGCTACCCGAAGAAAATGACCACACTCAGTAAATCGACTCTGCATGAGGCCTTGGGAAGGATGTCTCGCAGGTGCAAGTACAGAGCGCCACTGCCAGATGAGGACACGAGGTCCTCGGCGGGCACCGTGGATCTGGCTGGAGACGAATACAATCACCCCTTACCTGACCAACAGCAGGCCATGATGGCACAATTCGAGTCTACATTATATAAAGCTCTGAACAAAATGTCCAAACAAATAACATCGCAACTTATCAGAGAGATACGTGATATCGGGAAAAGAACGTCAGTACTGGAATCCCGTTGCAATGATATCACAACTATCATTGAAGGCCATGAGGATGAACTGGAAGGCCTTCGTACTCTGAATTTATCCCTGCACTCCCAAATCGAGGACTCTGAGAACAGAGATCGTAGATCTAATCTCCGTATACGGGGTGCCTGAGACTGTAGTGGATCTGCAGTCCACGATCACGGCACTGTTTCAGGAACTGGCTCCTGACCTATCTATCGAGAGACTTGAGTTTGATAGGATACATCGGGCCCTAACAAGGTGCTCGGCTGAAGGCCCCCCACGAGACATAATAGCGCGCCTCCATTTCTACCGCACGAAGGAGCGCCTACTTCAGGCGGCTAGGGAGAGTTCCTCCCTCCATTTTCAGGGATACCCTTACCAGATCTTCTCCGATCTCTCACCAGTGACAATAGCTAAGAGAAGGGAATTACACCTGATCACCCAGACTCTACCATCAAGAAGCAACAGATATCGTTGGGGATTTCCGTACAAGCTCCCGTTTCTCTTTGATGGCAAGACCTACACTACAGTCGATGGGGCTACCCGGTGCCTCGTATC